ACATTTCCCAGAGAGCCACTCAGGACGCTTTGATTTATTCAGTGCTTATTCTTGAAGATTATTGTGAATCATTAACCAAAATGCAATAGAGCAGAAGGTCACAAGTCATAGAGGCTCCACAGCTTGCACATAGCCTGTTTTAGCAAACTTAAGTTTTAAGGTTTTAATGCAGGTATAATTGAGAAGATAAATTGAACACATATGCATATCCTAATAAAGGTATTCTTTTGAGTCAGCAAATATTCACATCCTATTAAACATCAATGAACATTATATAGTATAATAAAGTGGAAAGGTCTTGGTAGATTATTTGTAGGCTATTAGTTGTTAGTGTAATTTTAAAACATAATCAGTAACAATTAGCAAAATTGATAATACTGGTGTGCAGTAGTTTCCACTTACTAGTACAAGTAATACAAGCAATAATTCTATAAAGCAATATCAGTTGAAAATTAAACCTCTTCCAAGTTCTTTGTTTATCCTTATGGGAGTTCTTGTTTATCAGATCACTGGGGCATCACTTCACTAAAACTATTTCCTGATATTCATAAAAAGTATTGACATCATATACTAAATTTAGAAGTCTATTTATAGAGTAGAATAAAGTTATATGATTACTTCAATATGCTTTGTCCAAGCAGATGCACTGGTCAAAAAGCCAAACATACACACACACACACACACACACACACACACACACATACACATATATATACATACACATATATATAATCTATATCTTTAACTTTTCAATTTTAATTTTTGTGGGTACATAGTAGGTATATAGCCCAATATATTTAGAAGCTGGAATCACTAGGACTTGGTATCCAGTATCAGGTCCCCTAGAAGCAGAGCTAGAGATAGGGATTTGGATGCTGATACTCTGTTGAGTGATAAACTGGTAAGAAAGTGAGAGAAGCAGGATAGAGAGGAAGGAAATGCCAGGTAGGACGTGGAATCAGATAGTCTATCCTTGGCCTGATGAAAGCAGAGGAATAAATTTCACCATAGAGGACAGCTGTGCATCCTTCACAGCTAAACACTCACAGCAGCTGGGGGTAGGGTGGGTCATATACAGCTGCCAGGAACCTGAATCTGCTTGGAGCACTAACAGCATTAACCACATTTTGTGATGGGGCAGGGGGCGGAGGGAGACAAGGATGGCTCCCAAATTTCTAATATGAACAACTGAATAACTTCTTGTATATAACAGCAATGCTCCCCTCCTAATACCAAAAAGCTAAGATTTTAGAAGAAATATTAAAAGACTCTTCATTTTACAAAAAAAAAAAAAAAAAAATTCCTTTTAGCGTTTACTTTTCTAGGTTAAAAATAACAACTCTTTGACATAATTGCGTGGGATCAATTTTCCATAAAAACACATACTTTTTTTTTGTTAAATATTGCTCTTTTAGAGCGTTTCCATTTAGTCTGCTTCCTGTTGAAAATAGATACAAACTGGTTCTAGTACTCTAATGATCAAAGATTCACCTACAATTCCAATATTATGTTAGCTTTTTATTTTAAAAGTACATATGCATTGTTCTTGTGCATTCATCCTTTAGGCCAGAGGTCAGCACACTGTGGCCAAGGGGCCAAATCCAGCCTGTCATCCATTCTACTATGGCCTGGGAGCTACAAGCTTTTACATTTTTAAAAGGTTGCTTTAACAAAATGATAAAGAATATGCAACAGAGACCATATGACTCACAAAGCCAAAAATATTTACTATTTAATCTTTCACAGAAAAAGTTTGCCAACCTGTCCTTCAGTCTGTCATGACCCCATAGTGTGCTGATGCAGTCTATATTGAGAAAGAAAATCTGATACTCAAAAACTTCAAATTAGTGGATGATTTATGGAACTATAAAATTATTTTTCATAAGGGATTCATCACAGAACTTATAGAAATTAATTCCAGCTCTTCTGAGCAATTATTTCTTAATGCAATTCCTTAACAAAGTTTAGAGTCATTCATTTAAGTAAAATAAATATGCATAAGTTTTCCTCTGTTTTGTAAAAATATTACCAGCTGATATGGTTTGAATCTGTGTCCCCACCCAAATCTCATGTTTAATTGTAATCTCCAATGTTGGAGGTGAGACCTAGTGGGAGGTGATTGAATCACAGGGGTGGATACTTCATGAATGGTTTAGCACCATCCCCTGGGGCTGTTCTCGTGATGGTGAGTTGTCACAAGATCTGGCTATTCAAAAGTATGTAGCACCCTCCCCGGCTCTCCCTCCCCCATAACCCCAGTACAGCTCTATCTCCTCTTTTTGCTCTGGCCATGTAAAATGTCCCTGCTTCCCCTTCGCCTTCTGTCATGATTGTAAGTTTCCTGAGGCCTCCCCAGAAGCCGGGTACAAGCTGCTATGCTACTGTACAGCCTACAGAACTGTCAGCCAATTAAACCTCTCTTCTTTATAGCAGTGCACAAATGAACTATACACCACCAATCTTGTGATTACTGCAAAGAAACTAAAAAATACAAATAGATACAAAGGTAAGAAATCATTCACAATCTTATAATCCATAGTTAACTTCTGTTAACATTCCACTACGTTTTTTTTTCCGAAGAATATAACCATTTAATTTTTTAAAATGTGATCATGTTGTATGTATAGTATTATACCCTCTTTTATTCACTGTATTAGTCTGTTCTTGTATTGCTATAAAGAAATACCTGAGACTGGGTATCTTATAAGAAAAGAGTTTTAATTGACGGTACAGGAAGGATGGCAGCATCTGCTTCTGGGGAGGCTTCAGGGAGCTTTTACTAATGACACAAGGCAAAGTGGGAGTGAAGTGTCTCGCATGGTGAAAACAGGAGCAAGAGAGACTGGGGGATGTGCTGCACACCTTTAAACAACCAGCTGTCTTGAGAATCACTATCATGAGAACAGCGCCAAGGGGATGGTGCTAACCCATTCCTAAGAAATCCACCCCGGGATCCAACCACCTCCCAGCAGGCTCCACCTCCAACACTGGGGACTATAATTCAAGGTGAGATTTGGCAGGGACGCAGACCCAAACCGTATCATTTCACTTAATGTTATAACTTTCAAAAGCATCTTGACTGCATTTATTCCCCAGAATTAATGTGTCACCATGTATGTAAACATCTTTCTATATATTTTTTTGACATTTGAGGTTGAAGCTAATTTTTCACTACTGTAAATGCCACAGTAAGCCTCTTCATGCATAAATCTATCTAGAACCTCATTTCTGTGTCCCTAAACTAGATTATTAGAAAAGTAACTATTGGCCCTTCCCTGCTTCTGCCCCCTGTCTTCCTTACAAACTCACTTCTTGTCCTAGTTCTATATGGGCTAGAGTCCATTAGGACTAGGAACTTGGTCTTCTCTTCTCACTCTGTATTTGTCTCAAGACCATGCCACCCAAGCCGAAGCTTTCAAATACCGTCCATATGCTATGATTCCCATCTTTATATCTTCAGCCCCAGATCTCTCTGCTAAGCTCCAGACTTACATAGCTAAATATCTACTTGTCATCTCCATTTGTATGTCTTATAATATCTTAGATATAGAATATCCAGAAAAGATTCAATATCTTCCTTGTTTCTTCTCCTCTACCAAAACTACAAAACTGGAACCCATCAGTGACATTTCTCTTCTCTCCCTCACTACCTCCATCTATTTAGTCACTAGATCCTGTTGATTCTATTTCCTAAATATCTTTAATATTTCTATTTCTTTCTGTCTTCCCCACCCTCATTGAAGTCACCATCAGAGAGTTTCAAAAATACCAATCTGCTTTCACAATCCTTGAGCGGCTGTTAAGATAAAAATCTTAGTTGCAATCCCTCCTCACTCTCTACCTTCAGCTTGCCACTTTTTCCAGTACTCTCTTACTCCAACCTAGTGATTCCTTTCTTTTACTCCAATGCGCTAAGCTTCTTCCAGCCTCAAAACCTTTATTCAAGCCTTTATTCACCCTTTCCCCCGCCTTCAGCTGCTCAACTCATTTCCTGATACCTCCCCCAATACATGCACTAACACATGTTCCTCTCTCAGCATCATGTGAGTCTACTTTTTGGGTATTTATTGCAAACTGTAATTTAAATTCTTGTGTATTTTTTTCCCTGTAATGTCTGTTCCTCCATTAGACTGAAATCCTGTTTGGAGAAAATAGCACCTATCTCTTTTACCACTTTATCCCTCAGTACCTAGCACGTAGTAGGTATTCAATAAGTATTTGCTGAATTAATAACAGATTATGGAATATAAACTTCATAAAGATGTTTAAAACATGTTATCAAACAGCATTCCAGAAAGTTTGTATTAGCCAATTTAGAAACCTACCAGCAGTATATGAGAGTTTCTTTGATCACACCTATCCTGACACTGGGTATTCGAGTTTTAAGTAATTTTTAAACATTCTGGTAGGGAAAATGTTACCTCATTGTTATTGAAATCTCTTTCTTGATTATTGGTGAAGTTCAACATTTTTCACATATTGATAGCCTTTCCTACACTGTCTGTGATTTTAAAATTCATGGCATACTGCTTTTATTGAACCATTTTTGTTGGGATATTTTGGAAGTTTATTTAGATTAATTATCTGTACACTTACAAAACAATGCCAAAGCTACTTAGCTTCATCTGAAGGCTTGGACAGATTTGAATAAATAAACCCACTCCCAAAAGTTTATGTTTACTCACTGCTGATTCCCCCTTACTTTGCATGGCCGTATGACTTTTCATGTAAACTAGGACACTTTTGAGAGTTAAGGAGGGTGCCGTTACTAATTATGCCAGGACAACAGGTATCAAGTAGGACCATCTTGGCCAAGATGTACAATCTTCCTGACTCTTTCATGTGCATGCAGACTTGGTACCCTGGAAATCTGGAGCAGAGATCCAAGTGGTGATCTAGGGGTGAACTAAGTATGAAACCTGCTTTTCATTCTAAATTTTAATTTGGATGCTGTATTAGTCCGTTTTCATGCTGCTGATAAAGACATACCCGAGACTGGGCAATTTAAAAAAGAAAGAGGTTTATTGGACTTACAGTTCCACATGACCGAGACCTCACAATCATGGCAGCAGGCAAGGAGGAATAAGTCACATTTTACGCGGATGGCAGCAGGCAAAAAGAGAGCTTGTGCAGAGAAAGTCCTGTTTTTGAAACCATCAGATCTCATGAGACCCATTCACTATCATGAGACCAGCACGGGAAAGACCTGCCCTCATGATTCAGTCATCTCACACTGGGTCCCTCCCACAACACATGGAAATTATGGGAGCTACAAGATAAAACTTGAGTGGGGCATAGAGGCAAAAAACATCATTCTGCCCTTGGCCCCTCCCAAATCTCATATCTTCACATTTCAAAACCAATCATGCCCCCAAAGTCTCAACTCATTTCAGCATTAACTCGTAAGTCCATAGTCCAAAGTCTCATCTGAGACAAAGCAAGTCCCTTCCACCTATGAGCCTGTAAAATCAAAAGCAAGTTAGTTACTTCCTAGATACAATGGGGGGTGGGGGGTGGGGGTACAGGCATTGGGTAGATACAGTCATTCCAAATGAGAAATGTTGGCCAAAACAAAGGGGCTACAGGCCCCATTCAAGTCTGAAATCCAGCCAAGCAGTCAAATCTTAACGCTCCAAAATGATTTCCTTTGACTCCATGTCTCACATCCAGGTCACACTGATACAGGAGGTGGATTCCCATGTCCTTGGGAAGCTCTGACCCTGTGGCTTTGCAGGGTACAGCCTCCCTCCCAGCTGCTTTCATGGGCTGTGAGTGAGTGTGGCTTTTCCAGGTGCACAGTGCAAACTGTCAGTGGATACCATTCTGGGGTCTGGAAGATGGTGATCCTTTTCTCACAGCTCTACTAGACAGTCACATCTGTATGGGGGCTGTGACCCCAAGTTTCCCTTCCACATTGCCATAGCAGAGGTTCTCCATGAGGGTCCTAACCTTGCAGCATGCAGCAAACTTCTGCCTGGGCATCCAAGCATTTCCATACATCTTTCAAAATCTAGTTGGAGGTTTCCACACCCCAGTTCTTGACTTCTGTGCCCTCACAGACTCAACACCAGCAGTAGGTTTGAGGTGCTAAGGTTTGGGGCTTGTACCCTCTGAAGACATGGCCCGAGCTCTATGCTGGCCCTTTTCAGCCAAGACTGGAGTGGCTGGGACATAGGGCACCAAGTCCCTAGGTTCCACACAGCACAGGGACCCTGGGCCCCGCCCTTGGCCCACAAAACCACTTTTCCCCCTAGGCTTCTAGGTCTGTGATGAGAGGGACCTCCATGAAGACCTGTGACATGCCCTGGAGACATTTTCCCCATTGTCTTGCAGATTAACATTCGGCTCTTTGTTACTTATGCAAATTTCTGTAGCCAGCTTGAACTTCTCCTCAGAAAATGGGTTTTTCTTTTCTACTGCATTTTCAGGCTGCAAATTTTCCAAACGTTTATTGTCTGTTTCCCTTTTAAAATGTAATGTTTTTAACAGCACGTAAGTCACCTCTTGAATGCCATCGAGCCTGTAATCCCAGCACTTTGTGAGTCCGAGGCAGGTGGATCACAAGGTCAAGAGATTGAGACCATCCTGGTCAACATGGTGAAACCCCATCTCTACTAAAAATACAAAAAAAAAAAAATTAGCTGGGCATGGTGGCGTGTGCCTGTAATCCCAGCTACTCAGGAGGCTGAGGCAGGAAAATTGCCTGAGACCAGGAGGCGAAGGTTGCAGTGAGCCAAGATGGCACCATTGCACTCCAGCCTGGGTAACAAGAGCGAAACTCCATCTCAAAAAAAAAAAAAAAAAGAAATTTCTTCTGCCAGATACCCTAAATCATCTCTTTCAAGTTCAAAGTTCCACAAATCTCTAGGGCAGGAACAAAATGCCACCAGTCTCTTTGCTAAAACATAACAAGGGTCACCTTTGCTCCAGTTCCCAACAAGTTCCTCATCTCCATCTAAGACCACCTCAGCCTGGACTTAATGTTCATATTGCTATCAGCATTTTGAGCAAAGCCACTTGACAAGTCTCTAGAAGTTCCAAACTTTCCCATATTATCCTGTCTTCTAATCAGCCCTTCAAACTGTTCCAACCTCTCTGCCTGTTCCCTTGTTCCAAAGTGGCTTTAACATTTTCAGGTATCTTCTCAGCAGTGCCCCACTCTACTGACAAAAGTTTACTGTATTAGTCTGTTTTCATGCTGCTGACAAAGACATGCCCACGACTAGGCAATTTACCATAGAAAGAGGTTTATTGGGCTTACAGTTCCGCATGGCTGGGGAAGCCTCACAATCATGGAAGAAGGCAAGAAAGAGCAAGTCACAGCTTATGTGGATGCCAGCTTGTGATAGAAACTCCCATTTTTAAAACTAACAGATCTTATAAGACCCATTCACTACCACCAGAACAGCACAGGAATACCTGCTCCCATAATTCAATTATCTCCCACCAGGTCCCTCCCACAACACATGGAAATTATGGGAGCTACAAGATGAGACCTGGATGGGGACACAGAGCCAAGCCATATTATATGCCTTTGTGCTGTGTGGTTCACTGACTCAATGACTCAGCTCTGGAACTCCCTGTCACCCCTGGTGCACCCTTTATTCATTTACCTCACCTGCTTGGGCCCTGGAGGCACCTAAGTTACAGCCCATGAAATTCTGGCAGTTTCTAAGGCTCAGACAATTTCATATAACTCTGCTTTCATGAGGAAGCCAGTGGCGCAGAGCTAGCTGCAGGGATGGTCTTGCCCATAAACACAGAGCTAGTCAGAGGCGGAGCCAAGTCTCCTGAAGCGTTCTCTCCTGTCCCACCAAGCTACCTCCATTCCTCCTGCTGTGTGGCGCTGACAATGACAGTAGCTATTTTCTGACTTTATAAGGTTTCCAGAATTATGTCAAGACGTGACCAAAACAGTCTTAACTTCCTAGAGTATCGTGTGAAAATGTTCCTCTTGGCTGGGCACGGTGGCTCACGCCTGTAATCCCAGCACTTTGGGAGGCCGAGGCGGGTGGACCACGAGGTCAAGAGATCGAGACCATCCTGGTCAACATGGTGAAACCCCGTCTCTACTAAAAATACAAAAAATTAGCTGGGCATGGTGGTGCATGCCTGTAATCCCAGCTACTCAGGAGGCTGAGGCAGGAGAATTGCCTGAACCCAGGAGGCAGAGGTTGTGGTGAGCCGAGATCACGCCATTGCACTCCAATCGGGGTAACAAGAGCGAAACTCTGTCTCAAATAAAAAAAGAAAGAAAATGTTCCTCTTTGATAAGCAAAACACTTTAAAGTAGAAGGCATACAGTCTCGGAGACATTTCATCTTATGTTAGGGTCATGCATACATGGACTTCCATGCCTATGACTTATAATGCTTCCCTGACATTTTGCAGTTGTCTACAAACTTCCCCAGCTTTTTCTAAATGCCCTTTTGTTCAATTTATTTCCTTCAATGAAGTTTAAAAAGTAAGTTCAGAGTTGCTTACAGACTTGCTTTTTTTTTTTGGAGACAGAGTCTTGCTCTGTCACCTAGGCTGGAGTGCAGTGGCGCGATCTCGGCTCACTGCATCCTCTGCCTCCTGTGTTCAAGCAATTCTCCTGCCTCAGCCTCCTGAGTAGCTGGGATTACAGGCACCCACCACCACACCCGACTAAGTTTTGTATTTTTAGTAGAGACAGGATTTCACCATATTGGCCAGGCTGGTCTCGAACTCCTGACCTCATGATCTACCCGCCTAGGCCTCCCAAAGTTCTGGGATTACAGGCATGAGCCACTGCACCCAGCCCAGACTTGCATTTTTAAGAATTGCTAGGAACTTAAGGAAAGTAGAATGTGGTGGTAAAAAACTTCTGGGAAAAGAAAAAAACACTAGAATTTAGTTGAATTTTTGACGTTGCCATCCAATATGAGGAATGACTTTATTAGCAAAAGAACATCAGCCTCCCTCTTCCAATTTGTCAAGAGAGCACATTTCCTACCAGTGGAATTCTTGCAGAGATTCTGTGTACTGTTATGCAGATTGTGCACTGCACAACTCCAGGGGACACCATTCACATTGCCATCTATGTGAATGGTGCCAAATGGTCCCTCCTGGCAGAGACCTGTTGTATGGTTCATAATCCTGGCACTATACAGGGCACAATCTGTACAGCCACCTGCTGAGGCCCTGACTGGCACCCTCTGAGTGACTTTTCTCTGATAAAGACACCATTCCTCTGCTGCCATTAGGGTTGCTTCATTTGCCAACGTCTACAGATAGTTCAGGATAATCTTCATTTCAAACATACATTCACCTACTTTCTGTAAGCACTGTAGTAACACGTGTCCTGGTTTCAAGTTTGGAAAATAGGTCATTGGAGATATCTTTTAAGTGCTATTTTGCCTATATTTTGCCATTTCATTTTTTTTTATTGAGGAAAATGTTGAAAACAAATATAATCTCATGGTTTGCTAGAAAATAAAAACATTTAATAAGTTAATTTTTAAAGGAACTATTTTCATTAAAATATAGCTCTGTAAGTGAAAGTGAGAAGAAAATGATTTTAGGTGTACATAGAATCCATTTCCAAAATATCTACATGTATAGACTAGTTAAGATTAACCCATTGGCTCTACAGAAATAAAAAAGCATTACTATGCACCCAAGAAGGCCAACCTGCCTAATAGAGATAGACCTTGGTTTTTAATTAGTGGAAGAACCAACTTTATATCCCCCAACAAGAAAGGTGATGAAAAGATTCAGAGACATTTTTATACTCTATTTCTCATCGTTTCTAGAATGAAATCCATAGTCTTCAAGCTGGGAGAAGCTTTTTAGTTCCCTCGTTATTTATTCATTTAATTAATTGCTACTATTTGCGAAACACTGTGATCATGTGTCTGGGCTCCTTCATGAGGAAACTGTGGTCGTAAAGCTGGTTATTGATAAGGCCAGAAACAAACCCCAGATGGTCTGTATCCAGGACACTTTACCCCACAGGGCTGTTAAATATCTCCATGTAGCTATACTCAGGTGATGAAATAGGAGAACATCTGTGTACTGCATGTGACCTGCATGTAATTCCTGTAATAGAGATGAAATACAACCCTTTGCCAGCCATTTCTTTATTACTCTAAATGCCACAACTTAAGGCTCAGCGTCAGGGCTAATAATGTAAGAATTCGTTCGGGAATTCTGCAAGTAAATATTTTCCTATTCATACTCTTTGATTCAAATATTTCAATCCTGTCCTTTCTCAAATGTTGCCTTTACAGATTAAAGTCCTATATAGCACTGACCCCTGAGGAATACGATCTTCTTACCCTTACTTTTGAGTATTAATCTAGACAGTCTCCTATGGATGACAAAATAAATACCCCAATCTCCTGGTGGCTTTCTTTTTAAAGGATTTGTTTTTGGGGGGAGAACATATAGCACATAGTTCATAACAATGTGAAATTGCATTTTTGGAAGTATCTGTACTCCTCCTTTACACAATTAAATCTCCCTACTTGCTAAATATTGCTGGACTTGGTGGTTGAGGAGATTGAGCACATGTGAGCAAAGGGGAACAGCTGTTCTTGCCAGATGCCGTCTCCACTGCATGGACATAAATACTGCCCAAGGAGCCTCTGCAGGGCAGACTGAGATCTAGCTTGAAGTTGCTGCAAGGAAACCCTTTCTGACATTTTTGCTTGGTAAATTCATCCATGAAATAATATGCAAGGGGCAATGCAAACTATTCAGGTTCAAATCCTGGCTCTGCCATCTACCTTACCAGCTTTTTGACACTGGGCAAGTTACTGTCTTCAGCCTCCTCATCTGTAAGTGGGGATAAGAGGAGTTTCTTCATAGGATCTTTGAGGATTACATGAATTAGATATTATCCTTAATAATTCCAGCAACTAATACTTGTTAAGCTCCTATTCCATTCCATGTACTGTGAATGAGAGAAACTGTCGTTCTCTTCATGGAATTTAGAGTATTTTTTTCACAATAGAAGCCTCAATGCAGTAAAGTGTGACAAGATTTTGTTTTAAATGAATTAGAATACGATTTTACAAAATAAATGTTTTATGAAAGTTTCTTTCCCTTGCATATATTTTTATATGAGTGTGTGGCCTATGTCTTGATATAAAATGTATTTCTCATCATGAGTCTAGTAGAGAAGATGGGCAGTTAAACAGCAACCTCGACACAGGGCGTAAGATTGACGCAGTGAGTGTCATGGGCACACGCAAATGTCACCTGACCCAGTAAGGGCAGGTACAGAGAATCAGGCAAGCCTTCCAGAAAGTAACATTTAAGCTGAGACTTGAAGGATGAGTAAAAATTTATCCAAAGAAGTGGGGTGGGTAGAAGAGTAGTTAATGAAGCAAGAGATTTGTTTAGATTTGCATTTTAGTAAGGCCACTCTGGCTGCATGAAGAGAATGGGCAGGGATCACTTGAGAAACTATTTAGTAATTTCAGGACACAGTGGCCTAGACTGGGGTGGGGACAGTGGGTATTTAAGAGGGAACTTGTCTTTAGGTAGAATTGACAGGACTTGTTGATTGATTGATGGGGAAAGGTGCTGGAGCCAGAGCATGAAGGTGCTTATCCCACACCTCTGATGTCTAATTTACAAAGGTTTCAGGAGACACTAAGTCTCCAAGCCCCTAACTTGAAAAAATATTCCTGTAAACAGGAAGACAGAATCTTTCAATCACTTTGCAAATCATCCCCCTATCCTGCTGGACATATCTGCAGGCTGTTGCTGGGCCTAGGAGTTGGCAGGGCTTTCTGTTCCAAAGTGGGAGGGCTCCTGGCAGAAGACGGAAGGCTGGAAACAGAAAGGAAACTGGGCTAGTCAGGCACCTTGCATGAAGAGAAAAGGAAAAGGGAAACCTGGTATATTCCCATCTGATCCAGAAATATCTGTTCGGAAAACAATTTAAAAGCACAGGTAATTCAAAGATGTTTATATTTAGCTTTGAAATGCCATGCATTTTTGGCAGTAGACTGACTTTCCCAAACATTTTTCTTAGGCCTATTTTGCATTCCCTGAAAATGGACCATCTGGGCAACAGGGGGATGAGCCCAGAGCTCAGAGTGAGTCTGGGTGGGTGGCTTAGGAGGCCCTAATGTTCAAAACTTGGAATGAAATCACAAGTCTCCCTTATTACCCCAGGTAATCAGTACTTAAATGTCTACCTGTGTCCTGCCGCAGAGCAGGGAGCTTTTTGTGATCTAAGCCATGCCAGGTCATATGGTGAACTGAAAAACAGCTATCTAATTCCCAGCATACCAGTGTTTCCTACTCACAGCTTCCAACTCTCAGGCCCACCTCCACCCCGCTGGAGTGGCAGGCAGGGCTCCACAGCAATCTCAAAATCAAACCATCTTTGGTGCACAAGACAGGCTATTTACAGATGTTACCGTAAAAGACAATTTAAATCACCATCAGTACGGTTTTACAAAAGAGCTGGCCAGACCAGAAGGCCCCTTTTCCTGTTATTCCTAAGATTTCTGCTTCCAGAGGAGTTGAAAGGTTAGATTATCTTTCCTAGCTCAGGTATACCTAGGACAGGAGAGTCGTGCCTCACAGAAATCACTTCAAAAAGGGTCTCAGCACCACATCCCACCGGGGCTTAGAAGAATCCTCAGGGTGGCAGCCACTCCCTACTTAGGAATCCCGTGTATTCCCCTTTTCTTCCATCTGGACTGTGCCACGCCAGGGAAGTCATTTTATCCAGGCTAGAATTCACTGGGAATAATTAGCAACAGGCCCAAATCTGGAAATTCAGAGAAACTGGTTCTCTTGTTTGTTATAAAATTAACATTTTTCATAATTACCACAGAGAAAAGGGCATTTCCTAGTTTCCCAGTTCTTACAGGTCAGAATGGTTGGTTCACAGGAAATCCTTAGTAGGCGCTCTGTGACGCATCCATGTCTTTCCAAGTGTTGGTATTTTTCATTTCACAGAACCTTCTTCCTAAGGAGATGAGCTGCCAGACTCAGGCAGCCCGTGTGTTTTCGAAAACGCCAGCATAGGTTTCTTTGACTCAGGTACCTGAAATATTTAGGGAAGAAAAGGCAGCGATGTGCCAGGGGCACCCTCACTTGATGTCTACCTCTTCCCCTCCTTTAAGGTCCCCTTGATTGGAGGTGGCGGAGTCTCTGGTGGCTCGCCCAACCCTTTAGAACAGACGCTCCCCCCCCTCCCCTCCCCCTGGCCCACTGCCAGACAGCAGTCCTCTGTCGCCCTTACCCTCCTTTCCCCATACACACCTCGCTGAGGTCATCCTCAGTGTGCAGCCCAGAGGGGAAAGGAAATGCGAGCTAAAGCAACAGGTTCCACCCACGGTCTGAACTTGGAAGGGGATGCGGCAGTGGCGGGGCGGCTGGAACTGTGCAGTGGAGGGAGAGGAAGCGGCGAGGAGGAAGGTGGAAGGGAAATGATGGTGCATGACCACCGAGCACGCGTCACTCGGGCTCCCACATGGGCTTGTGTATGTGCGTGTGTGAGGGGAAGGAGGTCCTTCACAGGGTCACTCGGGCACTTCCGCGTGGAATAGGAGGCGTCAGGCTCGTGCTTTGGGGGTCCCGGGTGGCTTCGGCGGGGTAACGAGTCACGCCGAGAAGGCTTGAGGCACGCCAAGAAAATACGGGTGTCGGCGTGAAAATACAGCATCCCCAGCACGCCGCCCTGGCTAACTGGCTGAGTCTGCGTCCCTAACGCCCAGTGCCCCCTTCTTTTGGGCCTATCCTGGGCCCCTCCAACCTCATCCCAGCCTGCCTCCCGCTCCAGCCTGCTGCCGCGAAAACCGGGACTGCGGACTACGCCGCGCCCGGCAGCCTCTGGGCATGCTCGGTGGCGGGACCGGCTCCGCCGCCAGGAGGGCGCGTCCTCCCTCCCCCAGGGCGGTGGCGGCGCCTGCAGCGACTGCCGCCGCCGCGCCCCGGCCAGGCACACCTTTTGGGGAGGCGGGTGACCACGCTGCCCCGCGCAGGCTGAGAACGCCCCAGACCCCGAGCCTTCCGGCGGGTGGGAGGAGGGGCCCGCCGGGGAGGCGCGGGGGCGGGAGAGAGACCTCCGACTGCCCGGCGTTCCTTAGAAAGTAAAGCTCAGCTCGCGCCCGGACCCGGGCTCCCAGCCGCGGGCGGGGAAGGGGCGGGCCGGGCGGGGGTGGTGCTGAGCGAGGTGCGAAATTAGTAGCCGCCCACCCCCTTCTCAGTTCCCGCCCCCAGGGAATTATAATTTCCTGGGAAAGTGTCTGGTTCTCGGAGAATCCTTGGGGCGGGGTAAAGGGGTGCGCCCGGCGCAAAATGGTTAATACAAAGTCTGCGCGCGCCGCGGGGCCCCTTGTATGAAAAGTGTGCGCGCCGGTGGCTGGGCACCCCTTTGCTAATTTGAGGGTTAGTTACCGGCAGGAAGTCTGGTTGTGCGAGAGGAAAGGCGGGCAGGAGGGAAGCCTCGGCTAGTGCAGGCTCCCGCCCCCCAGGCCTTCTTGGGGGACGCACCTCGGACCCAAAGGGCGCAGGGTGCGGGGCACTGGGCCGGGGTGTTAGCGGCGGGCGGCGGGAGGCTGGAGCAGGCTCGGCCCAGCGGTTCACTCTCTACCTCCTCCCCCCAGGATTACCGAGAGGATGGGATGGATCTAGGCAGTGACGCCGGCAGCAGCAGCAGCAGCAGCAGCCGCGCCAGTTCACAGTCCAACTCCACCAAAGTGACCCCTTGCTCCGAGTGCAAATCTTCATCGTCGCCTGGGGGCAGCCTGGACTTAGTGTCTGCCCTGGAGGACTATGAGGAGCGCTTCCCGGTCTACCAGAAGAAGGTGATTGATGAGTGGGCACCGGAGGAGGACGGGGAGGAGGAGGAGGAGGAGGAGGACGAGCGCGACCAGCGAGGGTACCGGGATGACCGCTGTCCGGCCCGGGAACCGGGGGACTTAAGCGCCAGGACCCGGAGCGGCGGCGGCGGCGGGGGCAGGAGCGCCACCACCGCCATGCCGCCCCCGGTGCCCAACGGCAACCTCCACCAGCACGACCCCCAGGACCTCAGGCACAATGGCAACGTGGTGGTGGCTGGCCGGCCGAGCAGTTCCCAGGGCCCCCGCCGGGCGATCCAAAAGCCCCAGCCGGCTGGGGGCCGGCGGGATGGCCGCGGCCCGGCGACTGGGGGGCTCTGCCTTCAGCCCCCGGACGGCGGGACTTGCGTCCCCGAAGAGCCCCCGGTGCCACCTATGGATTGGGAGGCGCTGGAGAAGCATCTGGCCGGGCTGCAATTCCGGGAGCAGGAGGTACGGAACCAGGGCCAGGCGAGGACCAACTCCACCTCCGTAAGTTGGCCGGGGTGCGTGCCCACGCGCGCACACACGCGTACACACCCCGCGCACAGCCCGCACGCCTCCTCACTGCGCTTCCCCCCGCCCGCGGCCCCATTCATCCTTCCCCAAGGGTAGTGGCTGGGCCAGCGAGCTTGCCGTCTGCTCCCCTGGGGATAAGGTTGCTCAGTCTTTGAGCTGTCTGGGTTTGCAGGATGGGCGGAGAGGAAGGAGGAGCAGCCAGAGGGCAGCGGAAAGTCGGGTTAGTGGAACCGGCGACTCATTTTAATGGAATTACTTATGGAGACCAGGTTGTGAGTCACTTGCCTGAAAATAAATCCAGGGAGATTCTGGCACCGAAAGTCAGTGCCTGCGGGGTATTTCAAATCGTAATAGTTGTGGCTTTGTCAATCGTGGTGTCTCTCCTCTCGTTGCCACTGTCTCATCCATATATAGGCTGTCCCTCTGCACACGCACACATTCGCCTGCCCACACCACCGGTCTGGCAGCGGGGTTGGTTCTGTCTTGCGTTAAGTAGATGCTCCTGTCTTTGGATGGGTTGATTTTCTTTCTCTAAGACTTTCTTCCTTTATGAAACACGAGTTATTGTTGACCCGGGGGAACGGGGTAAATGGACCTGTCAGGATAAGGGAGGGGTTCTTGGTCGCCTGACTCACTCCCTCTGCTGTGAATCCCTCCTTGTTTTGATAAGGGAGCCACTTACAGTTTCTTACCGGAGGCTACTTCCTCAATTCAGGAAAGCCAGACAGGGAGGGGTGCTGGAGTGGGAAAGGGGATGGGGGGAGGGCTGCATCTATAATAAAAAGCTCTGGCAGGTTCACCCTTGTTTCAACATCTTTTTTGACCCTGAGAGAAGAACAGATAAATGACTTAAAAGAAAACCATCGTGAATGCAGCTCCCTTTTTTAGCACTGTTTTGAGCTAAAGCAACAGTTGTAATTTGAAATCATTAATGATGACCCTAATTAGGGCTGAAGAGCACAGTTGAAAGGAGCTTTCTGTGTGTGGCAGCTGTGCGGCAGGTGGGAAAATGCTTGACTTGCGGTTGTAATTTTTGTGACACCAGGACCCCGGGGCTCCTGAAAATTGAGTGCATGCACTTCTGACTTCAGGGGTGAGGATGGTAACTGTGTTTCACAGAGAAATTGCCATGGTTTCTATCAGGGAGACCCTTGGCTGACAGAGCCCACTGGTTAGTTTCCCTTGGGAAACCACTTATTAAATTAAACATACTCGTTTTAATCCCAGCTGTTTAGGAGTTTACCATGGCCACTAACAGACATGGAATCTTTCCATTGCAGCCAATACTATCTCATGTACCTTGCAATAGAAAACACCCTTTTCCCACTTTGGGCTTGAGAAAAAATACCTCACTAATACCTGGACTTGAACAATGACTGGGCAATAAGCTAGGGGTTAGTTTAGTATTGCATGACATTTATACATTCCAGGAAAATTTAGTAATTGGGTATACATGCAAAGTTAGGGTTTGTTGGTGATGACGAGCTCCATTATTCAAAAGTTATGAAACAAAATTTTTTTGAGCACCCATGTATGTGCTGTGTGCCAGGGATGGTTCTGAGTGCTGTAGTTACACATCAGTCCACATGGGGCTAAAATTCTGGTAAGGGAAGGGAAGGATACAGACTGCCTTCCCTCCAGGAACTTAAAATTTGATGGCTTACCTAGCATTGCCTCACACTTCCACCCCCAACACACACATACCTCTTCTCCTTATTGTGAAGACTATGAATCTTTCATTCTTGGGCAGTCTGAAACCATGGTGTATCCTCACCTAGTGAACAGTTTGCATATTTGCATATTTGAGTTTCTTTCTTTCACTCCCAGCTTTCCTGAAAATGCCCCTTCTGGTCATTTCCTCTGCAAGTTACACAGAGAGATTTAGATTTCAGTGTGTCAAAGCAAGGATGTGTACAGAAAAAAGGAAGAGGGAGATGGCCTTTTAGGTTAATGCCGGACTTTTTCATGTTTTGGTTTGTGTTTGAACAAAATTACTAGTCACTAGTCAATGTTGGTTTGGAAAGTGTTTTTCAAACTGTAAGTTACCCATGAAGTCACCTTAGCATTTAAAAAAAATTAAATAAAATAGAATATATGATAGTGTACTGCAGGGAGTCATAGTAAAGTTGGTGATTTTTAAAACTTTTGTTTAGTTTTATATGTATGCTGGGTCGCAACATAAAGTTTATTTCTCACTATGGGTCACTGTTATAAAAGATTGAAAAGCAGTGATTTAAATCCTGTTTAGTGTTGCCTGGAATAAGTAAGGGAATTTATGATCATGAGGACAGAAACCTGAGAAGAACAAAGGAGTCATGTGGAAGAGAAGGCCTGTCTTGCAGGAATTGTTCAAATCCAATGATATTTTACTGCTCTTTAAAATGTCTTGTAGGAATACATTTAAGTGACATTAATACACACCACTAGGAGCGGGGTATACAATGAAAAGCGGATAGATTCTCTTCACCAAGTAAGCCTATTCCCACTTCAGGGCTTTCACCCATGTTACCTCTGCTTGGAAGCAAGTGTCTGGTTCCTTATCAACTCAGCTCAACTCTCAATGGCTCAGAGAAGCTGCCCACCCACCTTCCTGAAGTAAAGTAACAGCACTCCACTCCAACTGAAGCACTCCTGGTGTGTTGTTTTCTAGTGCTTGTCACTCTCTGACATTATGTGATTTAGTTCTCTATTTTTGTTGTCTCTGAAATGTAGGCCGGAGTGCAGGGTTCTTGCCTGTTTTTTAATTCTATGACCTATTGTGTGGGACATGCCTGGGGTGTAGCAGTTTCTCAAATATCAAATGAACGAATGAATGAAGGAAGGAAGGAATGGTTTATAACAACAACACAACCCAGATCGAATCCAACTTCCTAATTTTACAGTTGAGAAAATTGAGACCCAGAGAGGTTAAGTGATTTGCCTCAGGCCCAGTGAGAAACTTATGAATGGGGTATTGTTCTTTCTTCTGACAGCAGACTAGTTCCTCCCCACCCCACCCCCGAGTTTTAATGCTTAAAATAATTTGAAATAAAAGTAAAGGAAGGCGCTCCCACCTCCCTGAAACTTAAAGGGTTTCCTATTGACAAGTCCCTTATTGCACTCCCTTAGAATTAAGGACATAAGTGAACTGGAAATTATAAAAATCCCCTTACTTTTGAGTCTCCTTTCGCAGACAGTGTTTTATATTGTTTTGTTTTAATGACATACTGTTCTACAGAGCAGAATAGTGACAGAATCCAGGTCTCCTAACTCCATATCCAGTTGCTTTTCCTTCCACTCAGTTCAGCACGCAGAAGGATGACTGAGGTCTCAACAATGGGATGGCAATCTTCTGTCCCTAATCCAGGGAAGCTTGAGAGGCAAGTTTAAAAACACGCAATGTTTAGGTGGGATTTCAGAGCTAGCACTGATCTTCACTTTGTGATGGGTTTAAACAGCTAATCTCTCTCTTGGTATCTATGAAGGGTGATGAGCTTGGATGCTGTCAGGAACTGTCTTTGGTGTCAGAGCATGGAGGGGCCTGAGGAATCTTGATGGAAACACTCTGGTGACTGGATCCTTGCTCCGTCTCAGAGCTGGGAGCTCAAGATAGACGTCCAGCACATGTCCCAGCCCTCCACTGTGATGTCAGCTCCTGGGGCAGCCATATCCCCAGTAGTTTGCATTGTACCTGGCACAAATAAATGCCTGACGCATGCAGAGAGTGTGAAGGACTCTACCCAAAACCAGAACTACTCCCAGAAGTGCC